GTGTAAGACACGGGATAAACACATTTATTTATGTAAGACACGGGATAAACACATTTATTTATGTGAGACACGGGATAAACACATTTATGTGTGTAAGACACGGGATAAACACATTTATGTATGTAAGACACGGGATAAACACATTTATGTATGTAAGACACGGGATAAACACATTTATGTATGTGAGACATGGGATAAACACATTTATGTATGTAAGACACGGGATAAACACATTTATGTATGTAAGACATGGGATAGGAACTTGTTTGTCCGTGTCACTAATGTATAGTACAAATTAAGACAGGAACTTGTTTGTCCGTGTCACTAATGTATAGTACAAATTAAGATAGGAACTTGTTTGTCCGTGTCACTAATGTATAGAACAAATTAAGATAGGAACTTGTTTGTCCGTGTCACTAATGTATAGAACAAATTAAGATAGGAACTTGTTTGTCCGTGTCACTGATGTATAGAACAAATTAAGAAAGGAACTTGCTTGTTCGTATCACTAATGTATAGAACAAATTAAGATAGGAACTTGTTTGTCCGTATCACTAATGTATGGTACAAATTAAGAAAGGAACTGGTTTGTCCGTATCACTAATGTATAGTACAAATTAAGATAGGAACTTGTTTGTCCGTGTCACGTAATGTATAGCAGAATTTAATAAATAATGCAGCAAATGACATAATGAAATCAGTTGCTGGCTCTTCAGCCAGTCACGAAAAGTTCTCCGATATATCTTTAATAAGAAACAAAGTTATATAACCATAACTGTTGACTGTATCTGTTCCAAACACACTACTATACCTGAAAGTGTGTCCAGGATGTTGGATTGTATATGATGATAACTTTAATATAGTACCCAACAATTGTGGGGTATATCTGTTGACAATACACTAATATACCTGAAAGTGTATCCAGGTTGGTAGAGTGTATATGATCATAACTTTAATATAGTACCCAACAATTGTGGGCCGTTCCTGCTGCCGATAAGCTAATATACCTAAAAGTGTATCCAGGTTGGTAGAGTGTATATGATCATAACTTTAATATTGTACCCAACAATTGTGGGCCGTTCCTGCTGCCGATAAGCTAATATACCTGAAAGTGTATCCAGGTTGGTAGATTGTATATGATGATAACTTTAACATAGTACCCAACAGTTGTGGAGCGTTTCTGCTGCCAACACATTTGAAACATAGTCGTCTAACGTGCAATAATTTAGCTTCAGATGATTTTGTAGTTCTTATAATGTCCACTTTTCATAATTAAATCTTTTCTTTAACTCCATGTCCGTTATTTTGCTCTTTAATTGTCAGTCTGTCTGTCATTTCTCTCCAACTCTTTATTCCGAACTTCTGACTGATTTCACAATCTCTTCTCTTAGGAAAATAAGTTTATAATTTTTTTTATAAATTCGGAATTATTTTCCTTAGCGTGTAGGTGTATAGATGATTTAATTAGTATTAACAATGCAATATTAAGTAATTATATTGGTAACGTTTATCTTTCATATCAAATACAATATTTAGATTTATATTAATATTTATGATAAAAGAAATTAATTCAAACCTTCCCTCTTCAAACAATAATTTACCAACAAATGACATACAGAGCACTGTACATTCACAACTTCTTAGGTATTGTAAGATTTGTAGCAATGTACAGTTTTAATATCTAATGTAAATATATTTGTACAAAAAAATTATTTTAACGGCTTTGATGAAAAAAACCTTAATTAAATATGTTAAATTATTTTATAATAAATAAATATATAATGTATGTATATAAATTTGAAAGTAATAACATAAATAAAATTATAATATATACAATAAAAATAATGTCCAAAATTGATTGGAGGAGAAGTAATTAGAATTACTTATTTAGACAATTGTATACCTTACACAGGTGAATTACTGTAATTGTATCACTTTCCCTATACAACACCTGCTACTGTTTGGATCTCTTTAGAACCATTAAAGATCCAGATAGTGGTATGGAAGGGTGGTGAATGGGAGCTATACTAATAATTTAGGTTAAGCTTAGTATAGTAACAGCTTAACATCTTGGGGAAAGGTGGTAAAGATGTGGGACGTTATGGGATAGAGCACCCATATCTGCTCCTTTTCGTGTTTTTTTCTAAGCATGTGAGGCCGGTGAAGTTGAGGATAAACTGGATACACAGTATAGTCCCAACACAATTTGGGTTTTACTTCCACCGGTACCTCAAAAATCGAGGGCACATTACATAATGAGCACCCTATGAATTTGTGCCATGATATTGAATATTTATTTCGTGACTGCGTTTTTATTTTTTCAAGTAAATTTTTCGTTTTTTATTCATTTTTCCCCTTTATAAAATTGATTTAATTTTCTTAAGAAAACTTCTAATTCCAAAAGAACCATATTTTCATGTTTTCTTAATGTTTTTTTCTTTTAGGACATGTAATGCAAAACATAAAAGATTATTTTTAGAAAAATATTTCAGTAGAAGTAGCAGTGATTGTGTAACGCCAGTTGCAATTGTGAACCGTAGAAACTATCACTGACAGTAAAGTAAGATGTATTAAGTTATAAAAGATTATGAAATCAATTGCATTTCTATAATAAAAAGAGAAAGTGTAATTACAGTAAGATTTTGATTTAAAAAAGTAAAGTATATCGGATAAACTAACTAATTGTATTTATTTTTGAGCATTTTTAAATGTACTTAATTTATACAAGGTGTGTATTGTATATTTATACATTTGGAAAATATATGTCTTTAATTCAGGTTATGGTTTGGCATGGCCAGGTGATTTGGACGCTCGGCTCGCAATCTGCGGGTTGCGGGTTCGAATCCCCATCCCACCAAACATGATCGCTCTTTTAGCCGTGGGGGCGTTATAATGTGACGGTCAATCCCACTATTCGTTGGTAAAAGAGTAGCCCAAGAGTTGACGGTGGGTGGTGAT